TGCCTGTTCTTCCAAAGGTCCTGAGTTCAATTCCCAGCAACCACATGGTGGCTCACAACCATCTATAATGGGGTCTGGTGCCCTCTTCTGGCCTGCAGGCATATACACAGACAGAATATTGCATACATAATAAATAAATAAATATTTTAAAAAAAAGTTTATAGTTTGGCGTAGAACTCTGAGGGGGTGTGCATTCATCCCTGGACAGAGGTGCTTCCTAATGCAGGTCAATATTGGGCTTCTGGACGGTTACATCCATCACCGGAGTGTCTGAAGTGTTCCCCCAAGAACACTCACCTTCTCTCTCCCCCTCTCCCTCCCTGCCTCCCATCTCCCTCTGCTTGGTTCCACAAGCTCTCCATTCACCATCCAGCTTCCTGGCAATCAGTGCCCTCAAGCTTCTGGCAAGAGGAGGAGAGGAGTTGTTCCCTCTGCTTTCTAGATGGCTCTGCCACCATGTTTGCTGTGTCACCTGGGCAGCCGACCTTTAACTACCTTTCATGAGTTCTGCAGAAAGAACTATGGACAGGTTGTAAATATTTATGGCTGCTACTCCTGCCACTGTCCCAGCAGCATTGCTAAGTACTTCCCATGTACAACCATTAGCATTTGTAATGAATCTATGCAACAAATAGCATCCCTCGCGTTTTGCATATGAGGAAATAGGCCAGGAGAAGTTATGTGAGTTTATCTGGATCACAGTTGGTAAGCAGAAATGGTGGGACTTGATCTCAAACCTGTGTGACCCAAAAGCCCAGATTTATTATTTCCCAAGAACCACAGAGCAGACATGGATGTAATACCAACCATTCCAGGTATCCCCTCTTTTTTGGAGCGCTGACTCTAAGCTCCCCTTCTCCCCTTTCTTTTCTCTGCCACCATGAAGAAAGGGGTTCCTGGAGATCACAGCAAGACAAAGATCCGCAGCACACGGGAGGAAAAGCACAGCCTCTCTGCCTGCGTCCACTTGCAGTTTGTTAGCTTCCAGGAGAACAGAACCATGTGACCCGTGTGGTGGCTGGAACTCACAGATAGAGGCAAAGTGTTGGCTATGAAATTCCCTGAAACAGCAGATGGGGAGGAGTAGGGAAAAAAAGGCACCTCAAGCTCCGGAGCCTGCCTCCCCATCTTCTTAGAATCAGTGGAGTATCAGAACCGGTCTAAGACACCAGTAGCATCGCTAGTCCCATCTGGCAGGCAAGGACACTGGCCCATTGTGCGCTCTGAGGGAGCATTGTTGATACAAGGATCTAGGTCCAAATGTGCTTGTGAAGGACACTGCAGCCAGCAGCTTCCCTTTTCCTGGAGCTACTGAAATAGTCTTAAGTTGCTGGGAGGCCACAGAAGCTTCTCTGATTAGAGAAATGGATGAATGAATGCGTGAATGAATGAGTCCCAGAGAGAACTGATAAAAAAAACTGTTCTGATCTTGTGCCTAAGCAGGAACACAGCTTAGATTGTCACTTAAACCATTCCCTGGGTTGACAGAACTGTGGCTAGTCATTGTTACAATGTAAAAAAATGGCCAGAAGGGAGTAGCGCTGTACAACAGGGTTCACATGGGAGGTTTATTGGAAGAGGAAAGAGAAGGGGGCAAAGAGGAAGGGACAGAGACTAGTCCCTGGAGACAAGAGGAGGGGAGGGGGCGAAGGTCCACCTTTTATAAGGAACGTAGTGAATTTTCATAGGAGGTGCTCTAAGTGGAGGCAGCTAAGGACGTATCCTGTCAGGACCCCAAGGTCAGGCCAGTACAGATGCCTGAATACGAGCAGCCATGATCCCCATTAGCCAAGTCCAGATCGTGATAAGCCATCAGAACAGCATAGCTACATCGTATGGATCCTTTCCCAAACCTGGGAGTTGAGTCATGGTTTGCCTGCTAGGCTTCCTCTCTACAGATAATGTTACCATGGTAGCCATTTGACCCAGGTGTCACAAGTAGACATCTGCACATGGTCTTGAGAGAGATGTCTCCTCTAAACCAACAAAGAGAAAGACTTTTCTTCACAGATATGACACACAGAACGACCATAGTCACCTTGCCACTGTGACCGGAGATAATGCCTTTGCGCCGGGGAGTCAGAAGATGGAAGAGAAAAATCTAGGGTTTCTGAGAAGATCACTGCATCACTGAACACTGAAACCACATGCCCTCAGATTTCTTAAGTGATATAAAAACAGCGGTGAGAGCCAAAGTTCTATTTTAAATTTTAATTACTATGCCTAAGAGATCCATGAAACAAAATGCCTCTGATCTGGAAGCCCCGTGCCCAAGGACAGACAGTTCCTGAAATGCTGGAGGCTGTTGTGTATGGGAGATAGCTTGTTCTTTATTCTCCTAAACAAGTTTGTTTGACCCATACTCACAAGATACACTTGATCACATATGGACAGGAGGTTCACAGGCTGGAGGTATATCAGGATGTATGCTTGCCCCTGTTTGGACCTGTTCCCCTCCTCCTCTTCCTCTTCTTCTTCCTCCTCTTCCTCTTCCTCCTCCTTCTCCTTTATTTCTTTTTTTATTTTTCGAGACAGGGTTTCTCTGTAGTTTTGGAGCCTGTCCTGGAACTAGTTCTCGTAGACCAGGCTGGCCTCAGACTCACAGAGATCCGCCTGCCTCTGCCTCCCAAGTGCTGGGATTAAAGGCATGCACCACCATCACCCAACTTATGGGTTTTCCTTCTTAACCCACTACGAATTGTGATTCTGGGCCATTTCCCGGAAACCTGGGTATGGACCTGACCAGAGCCCATTCACCTGGCCAGTATTTCATTAAAGCCCGCTTTGCAGCAATTTGACTTTAAACTGTGGTGGTCTTATTCTCAATGGGCGGGACTCACACTGCTTCATGCTTTCAGCCATGTCTGGGGACACTTCCATGACATGCAGTGAGAGCAAGAGAAAGATCCAGATGCCAGCGTGCTACACAAGGGCAGAACAAGCATGCCTGGACCAAGATGAGTCTTTGATGTTGCCAACCCCTTATCAATTGGCTTGTGTGACTTCCAAAAGACTTTAGAAATGGAACGAATGACACACGTTTGTTGAGGACCGACGACATGCTGGGTATGATGCTAGTTGCTACGGTTGCAAGAAGGGACAAAGCAGACAAGGTCATCATCACATAGAAAGGCTTGTTTTGTTTGGTCCTTGCCCTGCTATGGATAGAACACAGCCTCATGCAAGCTGAGCAGGAGCGCCACTCCTGAGCTTCCTCCACCCCATTCTAGACTACCCGCGCATGATCGTTACTATAATAACCCTGACGGTCAGAAGAGCACAGAGACACAGATCACGTACCAAAGAAGCCTGGACCGTGAGAGTCCAGATGTAGTTGCAGAAGAGAAGGGACCAAGAGACAGAGAGCAAAAGAATTCCCCCGGGAACCGGGATGTCTCTCTTCTCTCTCCTACACATGTATTAGAGCCACTATCTCCCTTTATCCCAACAGTCTCTGCTATTCTTTCAATGTGACTCCAGTTCCCAGGAGAATCAAGTGGGCTTTTCTTTCTCCGGGTAGGTGAGGCACACAGGGCGAGTACCCTGTGTTGTGTACACAGATACTCCCATAGATGATCTCAGTAGCCCGGAGTCCCTTCCTCCCCTCCAATTCACGGTTTCATGTGCTTAGCGCTGCAACTGCCGACGGCCTATCTAGCTAATAAAACAAAAATAAACCTGGACCAGTGGGGTCTTCACGCACACCCACATCCACACCCTAGCATCTCCACTACCAGCCACGGGAGCCCTTGAAGACTCCTACCTGGCTCTATACCTTCACACAGCCTCGCGTACACACTACCGTTTAACATGAACTTCAGCAAGGAATCTTCCAACTCTCAGACAGGAATTTCATGAACAAAGGGCAAATGTAGAAAAAAAAAAAAAAAGAAAGAAAGAAACGAGTGTTTGAAAGGAACCGAAAATTGTCTCATACCGGCCCTCTGATTTAGTTTTTTTCCTTGTTTGTACATTTTGTGTCCGAAAGAAAACAGCTTTTCATTAATTGGGCATCAGTCCAGGCGCTTGGGCTTGGCGCTTCGCCAGCAGAGCTGTGTGAATTCAGCCCGGCAGACCAAAGCTTTGAGAGGCGGCGGCAACATCTAACCCAAGCCGGGTCCAAATAAGGAACCCCGGGGAAAGAGTCAGGGACCTGCTGCTGGGTCACTTCTCTCAGCGGCACCCTCCAAGTGATCTTGGTGGCCAAGGGGACAGAGCTGAATGAAAAGTTTCACGAGACTCTCAGAAGTCACCGCCTGAGTATCAAACCTGAATAACCGGGAGAGACGCAAGGCGGGCAGACTTTCAGTGGTTCCCGCCTGCCCACGCTGCAGGTTTTTCAGGTCCTTGCTTGAGCGTGCACTCCCAGGCGTAAATAAACGTGCGCTCAGCAGCCGCGTCAGCCAGCAGGCTATTTAAGCCAGCAGGCACCAGCACCCGCTGCTTCCAGCCCAGAGCTCGCCCAGGCGTCCACGTAAGTAGCGTTCTGAGGTTGGCCTTGAATGCGGGAAATGAATTTGTCTAGAGATGAGCCCAAAACGCTAGACTTAAAACAGCTGGGTTTTTATTTGTTTGTTTCTTTTCTGCTGGAAAATGGTTGAGATGAAAGGGGAAATGAAAATATAATGCTTACCCCCTAGTGTTCTCTCCCCTCCCATCCTCGACCCCAGGGTGGAGTCAGAGTGTTGCTGGGGTGATAAACTAGGTCTTTTGCAAAAATTGTGCGCCAGATTGTGGTGAATTTGGAGCGGGGAAGCAGAGCGGTGTTTGTTGTTGTTTACAGTTTCTTGTTTCCTTTTTCATCACCTGTGCAACTGTTATTTATCATTCCATCATTAAAATACTAATTACTGCGGCTCTACTGCCCAGCTTATTATCTGAAAATCAAACATAATATCTTGTGTTTGGTGTAGGCGGAGTGACTCTCTGGCTGGGTTTTGAACTTGCAGTGCTATATATATATATTATATATATATTACTATTTCTTGTTCTCCATATCTGTCGGTTAATAATGAAAAGAAACGCTGCACTTTGGGTTTTGCAGAAAGTAGAGGCTTGTGGATGTTGAGCTCAAAGGGGGTGTCTAGGTACTCAAGGTCAACTGTTAGGCGGAGGAAGAGTCATTGCATAAAAGGAACAGTAATCGTGTATTTTAGATGAGAAGGCCTTGAAGAGCGATGCCAACCATGTCCTGCAGCTGGTCTCAGGACAGGGCTTCTGTATCCAGGGCAGGTCCTGCAGAAGACACAGGCTGGAGAGGTGGGAGAGAGCAGGGGAAAAACGGCTCGCACATGACTAATGCTGAGAAAATGCAAGTGGGGCAAAGGAGGAGAACTGACCTTAAATCCGTAGTTCAGCTGCTTAGGTGAATGGCTCAGAGATGCAGGCATATGTGATAGCTCATGCCTGTAATCTCAGCTCTTGGTAGGCTGAGGCAGGAGGATTGCGCCGAGTTTGAGACTAGCAGAGTTTCAGAGCATGACCCTGCCTCAAATAAACAAAAACCAAGATTTGGTGATGAAGCATTAGAATGTGATAGAATTCCAGCCCACTCCCAGGTCTTTATCACCAAGGAGCCCCACCCCAACTTTTTTTTTTTTTTTTTTTTGAGACTCTGTTTCACACTATGTAGCTTTGGTTGACCGGGAACTCTCCATGCAGATCAGGCTAGCCTAGAACTCATAGAGGTCTACTTGCGTGCTGGGCTTATGTTCAACTCCAACACATTGTTTTTAAAGGTCTTTTTTAAAAATATGTTTTTACTTGAAATAGAATCCTATCACATTTCCGCTCCCTTTCCTTCCCCCAATCCCTCTTAGCTGTGCTCCCTGAACCCTTCCCATGTCCTCCCTTTGTCTTTGATTATTAACTGTCATGTAGGTGTTTGTGCACACGTGTGTATATGCACAGGCATGTATAAATGCAAACTGAGTCCTTTGGGGGGGGCGTTGAGACAGGGTTTCTCTGTGTAGCTTTGGAGCCTGTCTTGGAACTTGCTCTGTGGACTAGACTGGCCCTGAACTCATAGAGATCCACCTGCCTCTGCCTCCCGAGTGCTGGGATCAAAGGCATGCGCCACCACCACCTAGCCCAAAGCTGAGTCCATTTTGAGTCCATTTTGTTGAGGGTGTGTATGCAGTAAAAGCCTGACTTCTCTGCATTGGACAGCCAATGAGGAGTCTCATCCACATCTTGAAACACATTTTCTAGACCCCTGGGAAGTCCATGAATGCTAAATCAAGGTTGTGCCTTGATTTTTGTTTTTTATTTGCATAGAATTCTTTCTTTTTTCATTTATTCATTTATTTATATTTATTTTTCTTACCATCCCAATCAGTTCCCCTCCTCCCCTCTTTGCAGTTCCCTCCCCCACCCCACCCATCCACTGCTCCTCCACAGTTGAGCCTTTTTTTTTTTTTTTTTTTTTTTTTAAGGAGCTTAAAACTGCGGATCAAGAAGCTAGCGGATGTGTGGGGCAGGGATGATGGGCTTAAACCTTCAGCACAGCGGGCTCTCCATAGCCACCAATCTGAAGCTGAGTTACATGTTTGCAAAATTCTTGTCCTAGACAAGCTATGAGGAGAGCATTTGGGGCTGGGAGCAAGAGCAGAGATGCTAAAGGCAGTGCTAACAGAAAGGTGAGAGACAGCATGTGTTTTGTTTTGTTTTGTTCTGGCTTTTCTAGACAGGGTTTCTCTGTAGCTTTGGAGACTGTTCTGGAACTCACTCTGTAGACCAGTTTGGCCTCAAACTCACAGAGACCCGCCTGCCGAGTGTTGGGATTAGAGTGTTGGGTGGTGTGCACCACCTGGCTGAGACAGCATACGCTGTATGTGAACTCATTTGAGGTGGGATAATGCAGATCAGTGGTGGCCTTGGAGAATGGGACCAAGAAGAGGCTTGGGATATGGGGGCAGATAAGATCTGGGGGAGTGATGGATTTTTTTTTTCAATTCCCTTTTCTTCTGGTTTTTTGAAACCCAGGTTGGCTTCAAACTGACAGTGATCCTCCTGTACCATCCTCTAGAGGTTCTCCCAGGAAACATTAGGATGGGTCTGTTTATCAGTATAAAGTCAGGGCAGCCCCAGGCAAAGGTATGAGCGGGTGACATCTGTCTTCCTGATTTCGGTCATTCCTACCATCCTTCACCTCCTCCTCACACCTGTGTGGACGCAGGTGCTAGTGTGGGAGTGGGGACGGGGCCACAGGGCCCCACGGAACCTGCCCTGGCTAGCTGCCTGTGTTTAAGATAGCGTCCAATTGTGCTATTTCCAAGGTCTCCCTCTCTCAGGGATTTGTTTACCCACCTTTGGCAAACCAATTAAAGTTATGATGTTAATAGACAGTAATTACTTAATGAACCCTGGGTTATTAAATAGGTTCTAACAAGATAACCTATCTGGGAGTTCTTTCAAATGTTTTTTCTTTCTTTTCTTTCTTTTTTCTTCCTTCCTTCCTTCTTTCCTTTCTCCCTTTCCCTCTCTCTTCCTTCTGTCTTCTTCCTTTCTTTTTCTTCCTTCCTTCCTTCCTTCCTTCCTTCCTTCCTTCCTTCCTTCCTTTTCTTCCTCCCTCCCCCTCTCTCTCTTCCTTTCTCTCTTCTTTTCTTCCTTCCTTCTTTTCTTTCTCTCTCTCTCTCTCTTTTTTTTTTTTTTGCTGCTTTTGTTGTTTTGGTTGTTTGAGGCATGGTCTCATGTAACCCAGATGGCCTCATATTTCATATGTAGCTGTCTGCTTTGAACCTCCTACCCCCCAGCTCCTGAGTCCTGAAATTATAGGCTTGTGCTATCACACCAGCTTTGAAATGTTATATAAATATAATTATCATTTGAATTTTAAAGTAAGCAATTAAGAAAACCACTTTTAGGCAAAAAAAAGAATGTGTAATCTCTATTCATCAGAATTAATTCCAAATCACTGTGAGAAAGAGTGTCAAGATTATAGGTTTTTCAGTCTCATCCTATAGACACCATCGAAGACTGGGTCTTGCTAAATTGTCTTTTCTGAATTAGACAGTTCTTTGTTAAATACATTTGCTTTAGTGTGTGTAAGAAAGAAAGGGCAGGAGGAAGAGAGAGAGAGAGGACAGTAGTGGAAGCAGCAGCCTGTTCAAGGAGGACAGAGGTGAAGCGGAACTCTACCCTGAACCCCAGAAACTAGCCTCACAGAAGGTACTAGGCTGTAAGCATCAGGGCAGTAGGCCAACACTGGGGACCACTGCTATTCTGAAGCCAAAACTACTTCCTGTCCTTTCGAGTTCATGAGAAATGTTTTTAGACAAACAGTGGGTTCATAAGCTGGTCAATCATATGTGCAGAGGTGACAGGATTTCCTCCTTCGATGACTTTCCTTTCGCACCTCTCCTTCACCGTTGTTCCTGTGCAGAATGGCTCATTCAAAGGTCCCTTGGATTTTTGTCTTTAATGGCTATGGTGTGTAACCTGGATTAAGTTTTGAACACCGATGAATTCCTCAGACTTCCAAAATGCTGAGGGAATGGGGCCGTGGGTAACAGGGATGTGGCCTGTAGCCTGGAGGGGTGCACAGAGTGCCAGGCCACCCAGTTAAAGACCAGCATGGAAGAAACACCTTCCTGCCTGCTGACCCAGGGCATGCTGGTGGGCACAGGTTTGATGGGAATACAGATGACCTCCACTGCACAGACAGAGGAAGTGTGTCCTGGTGCAGATGGAGCATCCTCCCAGCTCACAGCCTCTGTATTTCAGTCGGCCCCATTGGAGGTTTGCCAGTCTAATGCTGTTGATCCCCGGGCGTATGTTGTTGAAATAGGAGCGGCGGGGCTGCGTCCCCAACACCCCAGCCGCTTGGCTAGCTCACGCCCGAAATAACAACACACAAACTGTATTCATTTAAAGAACTGCTTGGCCCATGAACTCTAGCCCTTACAGGCTAATTCTCGCACCTGGACTAGCCCATTTCTAATAATGTGTGTAAGCACCCCAAGGTGCGCTTACCAGGAAGATTCTAGCCTACATCCATCTTCATCGCGTGTGCCTCAGAGAGCAGAGCTATCGCGTCTACCCGGGAGAGCTGAGCATGGCATCTCTGCTCCAGCAGAGCTGTCGGGTCTCTCCGGGAGCAGAGCAGAGTCTGACCTCACTTCCTCTTCCGCCCAGAATTCTATTCTGTTTACTCCTCCCATCTATGTTCCAAGCCATGAGGCCAAGCAGCTGGTTTATTATAACTTAACCAATGAAATCAACAGATTGATATATGACACTCCCACATCAGTATGTGAAATTTGGAGTGGGTGACATACAACCAGGCAGGTGCAGGTTTGCCCATCCCTTTCAGCTGCCAGGAAAGTCCCTGCATCTATCCTTGGTGAGCTGTTGAATAGTCCCTCACAGGCACGAGCACAGACTAGTCCTGGCGGAAGACAGCCCAGCCCTCAGAGCAGAGAGTACTTTCTTAGCTGCAATGCTATTTTAAGACAGGAGTGAGGCCCAAAGATTAGAAGTCTTAACTGAGTTTTTAGCATGTATGTTGTGTGTGTGTATGTGGGGGGTGCATTGTCACAATGTGTATGTGTGTTGTATGTGTGTGTGTGTATGGGGGGCATGTGCATGTGCCAGTGTGCATGCGTTCATGTGTGTGTGTGTGTGTGTGTATGTGTGTGTCTGTGTGCCTAGGTCAGAAGACACCTTGGATCTGGTTCCCTCCTGCCACAAGGAGTTCTGAAGATGGAACTCAGATGGTCAGACTTGGCAGCAAGTGCCTTTGCTGGCTGAGCCATCTCGAAGGCCCACAAGGGGAGTCTAAATAACTGCGCCTTCCCTGTCTTCCCTGGCTGGAGTCATAAATTATCTGATCATCTCTGATTACAACCCATGGAAGTTCAAGAGAGCAAACTAATTTCCCTGGGATTGTAGCATTCCGCTAAGCAGGCGCAGGGACCCAGGTCTCCCAACACCGCAGAGGCACTGTACCCCTTCTCTCGGGTTCCCTGAAGGAAGCCGGGTGCTTACACTGCAAGGAGATCACTGTTCATATCAGTCAAACAAAAAGAAGTTCAGAATAAATGTAGGGGGCTCAAGGGGCTAATCCTCACAAGGTCGAGCTGCTTTGTTTCAGGTGATCACTCGTTCGTTGCCACGTTGCCACGCAGGTCGCAACGGACGTTCTATCCAAAACAGGACGTCCGTTTTACCCATCTCCATGTTTCTTTACTCTGGTGGTTTCTATAAAATGAAAACCCTGCCCGTCTGTTTACAAGTGAACCAGTCTATCCTCATATGGTGAAAACAAACAAGAAAACCCCAAGGTAGACTCCGAGTTGGTTCTGACCTTTGAGACTGTTAATCAGGAAACCAGTGACAGTCGTTCTGGATCTAGAGGGATCTAGATGGAAATTTCCTGGAGTCCTTCAGGTCGTGGCCGATCCGCTCACACAGTGCAGTCTTTGTCCACGTATTGCCACTTCCTGCCTGTGTGGCTTCTCCCTAAGGAAATTTATACAAGCGGCTCTCTCTGCCCACCTCCCTAGTCTGCTGGTGGCTGGGAGTGAAACGCTATATAAGTAAGTGATGCGGAAGCACCTGTCACCGCGTTAAGTGTCCCTCTCACTCTTCGTTCTTGGGGGTCACCCGGGAACCCCGGGAACTGTGAAGCAGGATTGAAGGGGGCAAGAGGCTCCCTTTCATTTGCTCACCCAATCCAATTCAGAGTTCAGACTGTTGAAGCTCTTCTGAGAGCCTCTAGACAACTAAACAGCCTCGGGGGCAGATCTCGATGAGGCTGCAAGAGGACCTGATGTTATTTAACTTGATTAGGAGAAGACTAAAATTCACTTAATTATGCTGTTGGAAGGCATTTGCACCAGTGGCCAGTTACTCACTTTGACCTTCAAGGAAAACAATTCAAGGTCAGGGATGGGTGTGGGCCACAGCCCAGTGGACGTTGCACGCCCCCAAGTACTCCCTGCATGCAGAGGTACGGAAAGATGCTCAAGCAAGTTCTGGAAAATACTGACCGCCGGTCTGTCGGTTGTCATGTGTCTGCCCGTTTGTTTGTCTCCTATCAAAGCATTTGTTAACTAGGGTCTGGAGAGATGGCTCAGCGGTTAAGAGCGCTGGCTGCTCTCCCAAAGGACCCAGGTTCAATTCTCAACATGCACATGGAAGCTCACAAATGTCCGTTAACTCCAGTTTCAGGGGATTCAACTATTTCTTGGGGTTTCTTTGGGAACCAGGTGCACACATAGAGGTGCAGTGGTTTTTCTGGACAAAGCAAATGACGTATTCTAAGAAATCATGTCATTCTTCAGTTTTGAGTAAAAAAAAAAATTAAATCACTTTGCCATTTAATGATTTAAAATCTGATGCCATTTGGTTGCCCAACATTGCACCTTGAGCCATTGGGAAAGCTGGGTCCGTACCCTGAATGCATATAGTGTTTATAGTTTGCAGCTCATAGACATCTCATTGACTCCTACACAAATGACGTGGGGTAGCTGGAGTAGGGTAGCAGCAGTGGAAGGTTCAGACATGGAGGTTCACAGCAAGTGTGAGCTGTCCAACGTCACACGGAGATTGAGCCACATTTCCGGAGTTCAGACTTCTTGGAGCTCCGCCCACTCTCTTTCTGCAGCCTGTCTGAACTACTCTGGGTTCAGCAGAACTTTCTAGTATATCTGTCTCCTTAGGGTTTGTGTGTGTGTGTGGTGTTAATGACTAGGCAAAATCTTTACATCTGTTGTTTGTCCCACTAGCTGAGCACAATTGAGCAACGGCTCAATTGTGGAAAAAAGTGTAACTGAGTTTCCTGGCAACAGGCAGCTGGGGGAGTTGGACTTTGGCATATTTTGGCATTGTACAGGTGCCCGTGGTGTGCCGTTTCATCATCTCCTAATCGCGGTCATAAAATAAAGATGGTAGTTGGATCATAAAAAGTAATACTTGATTAAAGCGTATTGGAACAAAGTGATAACTTCATTTTGTCAATGAGTCTTCCCTGGACTTTTCAAGATGCACAGACCATCTGGAGAAGCATCCTTGCTCGCTTTAGGCAGAGTGCAGTGACCTAAGGAAGTAGAGATAGGGCCCTTACCTCCTGATGGTCATCCATGCGCAATCTTACAGGTCCCTAACTACTGTTTCTTACCCTGTCATTTGGATTTGAGTAAAAATACTCTAGAACCCAGCACAGATTCACAAAATAAATCAATAAATCCCGGTGCCACATCTCCAGAATTACAAATGCATAACCATTTGCAAGATCAAGCAACAAGACTGAGAAGTTTTTTAGAAAGAAACTTTTTTTTTTTTTTTTTTGTCTTTTAAGATAGTGTTTCTCTGTGTAGCTTTGGAACCTGTCCTGGCACTAGCTCTTGTTGACCAGGTTGGCCTCAAACTCACGGAGGAAACTTTAATTTTTAATATTTGAAAGTGTCCAACTAGCTGCAGAATACAAGACTAGTTTATTGACTTCATTCTCTATAGCCCATGTATCATCATCACCATCATCACCATCATCTATGCCCTGGCAACGCTTGAGCATGCATGGGAAGCCCGTTTATGGCAGTTCTCCAGTTGTTGCTATCCTGGGCAGTCCTAGACACTAGTGTTATTGTCATACCCAGGTTCCACAGTCTTCCCTTATGCTGTCTACCCACCACGTATAACCTACCTGTACTGTATACGCGTTTTAGATTACCAAACTGATCTCTGTCATCCACTTTTACATCTTGATCATCCGTATACTTTCACGTGACAAACACATCACCCTACTTGCAAGCTATTGATCTAATGGAGCTAACTAATACTTTTCCATACAAATTTAATTCAAGAATTAAATGAGCAACCACATTGAGTAACACACTCCAAAACATATAAAAAAAAATTCATTAGCTGCTATTTTGGCATATTTGGGACAATTTTTTATTCATTACAAACTATAGAAAGTTGATCTGTTGCTTATTTGTGTCCATACTTGGTCATACAAATATTTTCAGCTTTAGTGATTCTCTTTAGGAAATATGAGAATTTTGTCCCGTGAAAATCTCTAATTGGTGCAGTAAACATCAAAAAAAATTTTTTAATATAATCTTTTTTTTTTTTTTTTTTTTGGTTTTTCAAGACAGGGTTTCTCTGTGGCTTTGGAGCCTGTCCTGGAACTAGCTCTGTAGACCAGGCTGGTCTCGAACTCACAGAGATCCGCCTGCCTCTGCCTCCCAAGTGCTGGGATTAAAGGTGTGCGCCACCATTGCCCGGCCATCAAAATTTTTTTTAAAGGTGAATTTGATCATTCTGTGTATTTCCCAGATGCCGTCCTTCTTTTTCCTCTGGCCTGAAGTTCCCTAAACACATGGATACCCCTAGAATTCTCAAGGATGAAGGATATGAGCCTTTATTTGTGTCTGGTGGCAGAGCTAACCCTCTTTGAGAAGCAGTGGATATTTGTAGTTGCTAAGCTTTTTAGCGTACCACACTCAGCCCCATGGCGGGCAGACACCCGGAGCCTTTCTCTTCCTCCCAGACAACGTTAGACACTGCGAAAGAAACCAACGTTCGGGAGATAGGAGGGCCCAGAACATCATCTTAGCTTTAGCCTCAGAGCTCCAGTGTTACTCTGTCTTCAATGACCTTCATCCTAATTACTGTGGCCTGCTAATCCAAACAGCAGCAGACGTGGGAAGTCCGTAGGAGCTCCTGTCCCATACCTAAATGTCACATCTGACAGACAGTAAGGGGACCAGATGCTCCGGTTTGCTTGGGATGCGTCCACTGTGGCCTGTTGTAGAGGTGCCCTTATTCCATGAGTGTTCTAGCTTAGATGATAAATTGTATTATATGTAATTTAACAGGCTGAATATGAAAAAGCACATGGTTATAGCATGTTTCATGGCCACTCAGCAGTCCTTTGGAGGAGGAATTTGGTACAAAATATTCATCAAATCAAGGCCTCTGTAGTCTTCAGACTAGGCCTCTTTCTCCCACTAGAGGCCCCAGTAAACTGTTACGAAGGAAGGCAAGGTCATTTAATATCTGTACTACTCAGAACACCAGTACTCTAGAACAGAGATCACCTCCAGATCCTCTGGTCCAAACCTTCCTTTTGTGGATGAAGACTTCATTATAATCTTGTGGAAGTGTGTGTCATCTTACACTCTTCTGAATTGTTTCGTGAGCGTCGCCACCACTGGTCACTGCTCCTTGCCTGTCTGCTCCGGCTGAGTTTTTGGACATACTTTACTTGAAGAGAAGAGAATCAAATTTCAGAT